GAGAAGTGGAATATAATAGTGACCTATATTGAACTGAACATACGACATGTGATCTGGTAACAGAGACGTGATACTAAAAGATAAATCTGTGACAACTTACATTATTTGGCGGCTGACCCTCTGAATCGGGTGCATGCGGATCAGTTGTGCCGGCTGACTTACCCTCCCCACCCGATGAATCTCCTTAGAATGCTGTCCCTTGCTATTTGGGTGGGGGTCCACAAAATTGTCATCATCAGTGTGCACATCAGATTGCTCAGGTCTTTCATCTGTTATCATAACCAAATAAGTATATGGTTTCACCCCCGATGCACTTGGCTTTGTACTAGAACCAACTCCATGAACTGATCGATCTGTACTACCATCTTTTCCCTTTCCTGTACGTGAACGATGAGGTTGGATAGGTTTGTCATACTGCACCTCATACATATACGACATTGCCATTTCAACTTCTGAGGGGTCCAAGTCGCATATTTCCATTTACCATTTGGAACATAGAAAATTAGGTGACACTCTCAATGGTAACATGACCTGTGACACATGCATAAGGATGTGTGACTTGTACTGTGACTTGTGCTGTGACCTAATGAATATGATTTGTGACTTAAGGAAATTAATTTACACTTACTCAAAATAATCTGAGAAATGTACAGNTGTGTGACCTGTTCTGTGACTTTTGTTGTGACATAATGAATGTGATTTGTGACTTAAGGAAATTAATTTATGACCAACTCAAAATAATCTGAGAAATGTACAGATGTACAGGTACTGATTCACATATAATAATGCTGCAAGAGTTGTCACTTACATTCGGATTGGAGAAGCAATCAGGCCCATCGAGCTTAGCAGCCGATGGGTGATCATCAGCCGTCCAATTCCTTATTTGAGGGTATACTTTAGATATCCTTCTAGCTATATATCCATCAAGACTAGGAATTGTCTCGTAGATCCACATCTAAAATGCTACTACCAAGCCTCTGAGTCTATAATGAGTTGTTCTCTTAGCCAACCCCTCCCTCAATGAAGTGAGTAACATGCCGAACATCGACTTACCCCATGGGAACAAATTCATGGCATTTTTATCCTCAACTAATACGAACAAGAAGTGATCCACAACCTTCTTGTAATCTCTCGGATATAGATATGACG